TGGGGGGAAAGAAAGAAAAGGGAAGTAATATGGTTGAACCTGAGCTTTAGGAAAATCACTTTACTAGCTGAATATAAGATGGATTGGAGAAGGAAGGCAGACCCACACCAGGCTATTACAATAGTCTAGATAAGAGGTGATGAGAGCTTGTACTAGAGTCATGGCAGTGTCAGAAGAGAGAAGGGGACATATGTACATAGATGTTGCAAAGGTGAAATTGATAGGCCTTGGCAACAGCTTGGATATGGAAGATGCAAGACCGTGAGCAATCCAGGATGACTCTGAGCCTGAGAGACTCAGAGGATATTAGTACCTCTACAGTTAATAAGGAAGATAAGAGGAAGGGAAGGTTTAGGGGGAAAGATAACGAGTCTTGTTTTGGACATATTAAGTTGAAGATTCTACAAGACATCTAGTTCAAGATGTCTGAAAGGCAGTTGGAGATGTAAGATTCCTCCAATTTGAGGCAGGATAGGTAGATTTGAGAACCATCAACAAAGAGATGATAATTAAAACCAAAAGAGCTGATAAGGTCACCAAGTAAAGTGTAGAGGGAGAAAAGATGAGGGCCCAGGACAGAGCCCTGCGGGACCCCTACAGTTAGAAAACATGATCTGTAGGAGGATACAGCAAAGGAGAAAAAGAAACAGTACTCAGACAGGTAGAAAAAAAACCAGGAGACAGTGGTGTCCCAAAAATCTAGAGAGAAGACAGTATTGAGGAGGAGAGAGTGATCAACAGTGTCAAAGGCTACAAAAGGTCAAGAAGAATGAGAACAGGGAAAAGGTCATTGAATGTAGCAACTAAAAGATAACTAGTAACTTTGGACAAAGCAGTTTTAGTGAAATGACAAGGTTGGAAGATAGATTGTAAGGAAGAATTGTTGGGGCAGCTGGGTGGTGCAGTGGATAGAGCATTGGCCCTGCAGTCATTGAGTTCAAATTCAGCCTTGCACCATCCACTTGACACTTGCTTGCTAGCTGTGTGTCCCTGGGCAAGTCACTTAGCCCCAGTTGCTTACAAATTTTTTTTTAAAAAGGAAGAATTGTTAAGAAGAGAGTTATGGAAGAGAAAGTGGAGGATTTGCCTAGGGTCTCACAGATAGTGTGTATCAAAGTTAAGATTTGAACTTGGGTCTTCCTGACTCTAAAACTAAGCCACTTTTCACTATGCTATCCAGACTCTTTACTCTTTCAACTCTTAAGATAGAAAAATCATATTGAGCTTAGTAACTCACTCAAAGTTTTTGCTCCATGTAAAAATACAGAAAGACTTGCTACAAATCCTGATTTCCTGTATAGAGGGAATATATCCTAATTGAATCAAATAGATTTGTTGGCTACAAAGGAATTTCAAAAAAACAGAAAAAGATGGCCCTCCAATGGTTGTGCTATCCATGATGAAGCACTGTAGTGAGGTTGGAGCCATGCCTTGGATTCATTCATCTCCTGGAACTGCTTTGCAAACTTTAAAGCACTCTATAAATGTCGATTATTATTGTTAATATTATTCAAGATGGAATACTTTGAAATTACTCTCTCTGACTATAACCTCTTTACATCTACTTGTTTGTGATTTCATTATGACTATTTTCCCATGCTCTTGCAGCCCTTCAATCCCTTTCTAGTTTCTTGTGTCTCCTTACCAAGGTTTGGGTCTATGACAAGTATACAATAACATAAGGTAGAACATGATTAAGTGCCATGTGGATGATACAAAATGTCATAGACATACAGTGGAGAAAGAGGTTTTTTATTCTGGCTAAGATGTCTAGCTTTTTGTCCCCCATACTCCTATCAAGCCTGATTTTCATCCTTATTATGACCTCTTACAACAACAGCCTTTTACTCTATTCTGTCTTATCCATCTGGCTTTTTACTTTGATGAACTTGTGATTTTATTGGAATGGCTACTCCCACCAAAGTTGCAGCCACAATCTTTCCATACCTTCTCTTAGAGTCCAGTTCTTTTCTATGTCCTTCCATAAATCCTCCTTAAAGGACCCACCCAGTACACTAAAGAGATTTTTCTCATTCTTTGAATATCTCAGGGGTACTCATGTTCCAGTTAGCCTGCCCATTTGTTACCTGTTATTCTTGGTACATTACTAGTCCACTCTTTGTTAGTCCTAAATATATGCATGTGTATAATATATATGTATATGCACACATATAAACATATATATATATATATATCACATGTCAGAAAAAATATCTATGTAGATATATAGGCTGTCCCCAAAGTCTTTAATAGTTTAAAACTGTACTAAGACTTTCAGTATACCCTGTATATCTATCCATCTGACATGTAGATATAGATATGTCATGTATAACTTTTGTGTCAGAGACTTTCATGACCCATAGAGGTCCAAAATACTTTGAAGGATTTTCTAATTTTCTAGCTCTTAACACCTACATGGGAAACCTAGGAAAATGTATATATACATGGTCTCCCCTCTTCCCTTTTGTGCATCAAGTGTATTAAAGTCAACTTCCACTTTGAAAGAAAAGAATGTAGTTCACGATGTTAGATAGATAGATATACAGATATGGCTATGCAGATATGGATACAAAGACACATATATCAGGTCAGATCCTATTTGGAAAATTAAGCAATCCTTTAAATGATTCCATACTTGCAATAGGGGCAGTTAAATGGTGCAGTGGATAAAGTGTTGGGCCTGGAGTTAGGAAGACCTAAGTTGAAATCTGACCTCAGATACTTACTGGCTGTGTGACCCTGGGCAAGTCACTTAATCCTGTTTGTGTCAGTTTCCTCATATGTAAAATGAGTTGGAGAAGGAAATGGAAAACCATTTCAATATGTTTGCCAAGAAAACCGCAAATGGGGTCACAAAGAGTCAGACATGACTGAAATGACTGAACAACAACAAAAATGTGCCAGGTACTGTGCTAAACTTTTGGGCAGCTAGATGACACAATGGATAGAGTGCTGGGTTTGAAGTTAGGAAGACTCATCTTCCTCAGTTCAAATCTGGCCTCAGATACTTACAAGCTGTGCGACTGTGGGCAAGTCACTTAATCCTGTTTGCATCAGTTTCCTCATCTGTAAAACAAGCTTGAGAAAGAAATGGCAAACCGCTCCTGTACCTTTGCCAAGAAAAGCCCAGATGGGGTCATGAAGCATCAGGCACGATCAAAATGACTCAAAAACAATAATACTGGCCCTTTAACCCAGCAATACTACTGCTAGGTCTGTATCCCCAAGAGATCATAAAAATGGGAAAAGGACCCACATGTACAAAAGTATTTATAGCAGCTCTTTTTGTGGTGGCCAAGAATTGGAAATTGAGGAATGGCTGAACAAGTTGTGGTACACGAATTTAATGGAATATTATTGTGCTATAAGAAATGATGAACAGGCAGACTTCAGACTTCACAGACTTGGCTCTTCTCAGCAATGGATCTAAGACAACTCCAAAAGACCCATGATGGAAAATGCTGTCCACATCCAGAGAAAGAACTATGGAGTCTGAATGCAGATCAAAGCATAATATTTGCTTTTTCTCTCTTCTTCTTTTTTTTTTTGTTTATTCTTTCTCTTGGTTCGTCCCATTGGTTTTAATTTGTCTTTACAACATGACTAATGTGAAAATATGTTTAATATGAATGTATATGTGGAGTCTATATCGGATTACACACTGTCTTGGGGAAGGGGGAGAGGAAGGAAGGAGGGGGAGAAAATTTAAAACTCAAAAGCTTATGAAAGTGAATATTGAAAACTAAAAATAAATAAATAAATAAATTTAAAAATAAATAAAAAGAAAGCAATGTCTGGAGATAAAAAAAACCCCAACAATAATACTTCCATTACTGCATCTCTATAATACAAATATTCTTATAGTGCTGCTATATGGCTATTAATCATGACACATCATCTTGAAACCAAAAATGCAAATAACCTAAATGGCAATGAAAAAATGAATGGTGGACACATTATCAACAATAACTTGTATATGAGAAATATGTGTGTGTGTATGTGTATATATACACATATACGCAGGTTGTCTCAAAAGTTTTATATATAGATATCTGCATATCTATATAAAATACATATATATGAATATACACATATGTTATTGTAGATAGATATACAGGTATAGAGATAGCTATATATGCCAAATATTTGTCCCAAAAATGTTATATATAGATGTACAAACATCTATATATAGATCTATATCTAGCTAGCTAGCTAGCTACTCTTCTCACATGTGAATCATTGTTGGTAATATGCCCAACATTCATTTTTCCATTGCTGTTTGGGTTGTTTGCATTTTGGGTTCTTTCATGATCATGTTCCATGACTATAGCCACACAGCATCACTTGATAATATTTATATTGCAGAGATGCAGTAATGCAAGTACAGGATCATTTAAAGAACTGCACAGGAGGTAGATGGGTGGCCCAGTGGATAGAGCACTGGGCCTGCAGTCAGGAAGACCTGAGTTCAAATCTGGCCTCAGACATTTACTAGCTGTGTGACCTTGGGAAAGTCACTTAACCTCTGTTTACCTTAATCCACTGGAAGAAGGAAATGGCAAATCACTCCAATATCTTTGCCAAGAAAACCCCATAGACAGGGTAATGGAATGGGGTCATAAAGAATTGGACACGACTGAACAACAACAATAAAAGAATTGTATAGTTTCCCAAATGGGATTTGACAAGACCCCTTTTTCTTATGAATTTATGGGCCCATCTCACTATGTTCCTATTTAAAATATACATATTCTTATGCTAACTGATTGGTTTCTTGTCCAGCTGCACTTTTCATCTTGGCAGTAATAATTTTAAAAATCCACTCTGCTATTCTAGTTTGGGTGGCTAGTTCAATCTCTTATGCACTGCACATATTTCATTAAAAAGGTTTTATAGCATTATTGCATTCCATGCAATTAACAAAATATCATCTACTAACAGGAGCATTAGGAGAATCTTGGCATGAGTCAGAAATTCTTTTGTTTGCATTTTTTTTGCAGGCTTTCAGCCATGAAACTGCCTGCCAACACCCTTGGTGAACAACACTCCATGTTTTACACCTTACTTGAAGACTGGAACTTGAGGACTGGCCTGCAGAATAACATTACCATCATAGTCATGTCACAGATTTTCACAATTTTAAAGTATGGGTGGAATGAACCTGAGCCAAGGAGAATTTTCAAGCCTGAATTTTGTTCCACCGAGTCAAAAATAAATGAAAAAAATGCAGAGGTGTTTTATATTCTATAGAAATCTCAATTAGTTGTTATACTACAAAGATGTAATCAGTCATAGAAGATTATATGATAAAGCTATTTCCTTGAAGATATGGTTATCATTTGCATAGACCATTCTCATAAAGATTTTATATCAGTTCATCAATAAACATTCATGAAATGCCTACTATATGTAGGAACTGTGCTATACAAAGACAAAATGAAAAGTCCCTGCCCTTAAGTAAGCTACATTTTATTGCAGGCAACAATATGTACTATAAACAATCAACTATAAGTATAAGAATGGGGGAAGATTGGTTATTCAGTGTTTGTTCTAAAAAAGTTCAATGGCTTAAAATCTTAAGATGAGTCCACTGTATGATGTGGCTGCCAAAAAGCTAATGCCCTCTGGTGTGCTGTGTTAAGAGAGGCACAGTTCTCTGGAGGAGGAGGTGAGAGCACCAGCATACTCTGCTCTGGTCAGGCTTCAGATGTTTGGAGCACCATATTCAGATCTTGGCACCTGGGTTTAAGAAAGGCATTGTTAAGATGGAGAGGGTCTGAAGGAGGACCTTGAGTCCATGTCATATGAGGTTCAGTTGAAAAAACTGAGGATGTTGATCTGGGAGAAGAAATCTCCAGGTGCAGAGGTGGGGATCATAACCGTCTTCAAGTACCTGAAGGGCTGCAATGTGGAGGAAATACATACTGGCTCTCTTTTGCCCCAAAGGGCACATACAAGAACAATGCGTAGAACATGCAAAGAGGCAAATTCAGGCTTGATGTCAAGAAAAAAATGTCCTAACAATTAGAGATGTCCAACAATGGAAGAGGGTGCCTCCCTCTCCTGAGGGCTTTAAGCAGGAGCTGGATGACCCCTTCTTGGGTATGTTATAATGGGCATTCTTTTGGTTTTATTAGGTGACTATTGAGGTTCCTTCCAAGTCTTAAATTCTTTAATTCTCTGAAGCATGCCTGGAGATATAGATAAAATAAATACGAAGTAATTGTTTCTTGGGAGGGAAGCCTACAGGGGAGGTAGCAGCTGGGGGGATCAACAAAGATCTCAGATTCAAGGTGGTATTTGAGCTAAATTTTGAAGGAAACCAGGGATTCTACAAGGTAGAGGTGAGAAGTGAAGGCACTGTAGTGCGTGTGCCACAGTAAGGCCAGCGTGGCTAAAACACATAATTTGTGAAGGGAGAGTAACGTATATCATAAGTCTAGAAAATTTAGATCCAGGTTGTAAAGGGCTTTGATGTCAGAGGAGTTTGTGTTATACCTTAGTGGTACTAAGGAATCACTGAAGATTATTGGGCAGGGGAGTAACATGGTCAGCTCTCTGCTTCTGGAAAATCCCTTTGGCAGCTGTGTGGAGGATTGGATTGGAGAAAGGTAGGGAGACCAACTAGAAGACTACTGAAATAGTCCAACAGAAAAGTGATGATGAAAGACTAAACTAGGGTGGTGCTTGTTGAAGTAGAGAAAAAGTAATACATTCTGTTTTGAACAGATTGAGTTTGAGGTGTCTAAAGGACATCCAATTGATGATGTCTGAGATTCGCTTCATTGGAGGTCTTCAAACAAATCATAAGTGAACACTTTGGGGTACACTGCATACTGTGTTTGTTGTTTAGGTATGGGTTAAGCTAGGTGGCCTCTCAGTTCTCTTCTAACTCTGATACTCTGTGCTTCTGTGAAAGTTTCTGTTCTTTGAACCTTGGAAAACTGAAATGGTTAAGTACCATTGCTGGCAAATGCATACAATCACTCCATTTAACTTGGGGGACTTTAAACTTTGGCCATTTCCAAACCAAGTACCCTGCATTCTAGCCCTCCTCTTTCCCCACCAGAAGCTAGACTCCTGCTCTTGGGCCTCTGATCCCTATAGGTGAGCTTTCAATTATCTTACCCAGAACCAGGTCGCCATGCCACTTTCTAGCCATTTCCCAACCCTCATCATACCTCTACTCCATGCTTTCTAACTCTAACTCCCCTTTATATTTTGTCTTCTCCTCACAAATAACAGGGACTGTCTTGCCTGCTTGTATTTGTATCTTCATCACTTAGCAACCTGCCTGGCACATGGTAAATACTTAAAAATTTCTTTTTCATTCACTAGCGCTTTTCATTTAAACTGCTATACTTACTATTGACAAAGAACTTCAATCTCACATCACCACATGCCTTTTGGACAGTTCCACTCAGATGTTCTATATATGCAACTCAAATTCAATACGTTTGAAAAAGAACTCATTATCTTTCCCTTTGATTGTACCTCCTCCTTCCTAACTTTCCTATTTCAGCTGAAGGCCCTGCCATCCTTCTGTCATCTACATTCATATGATGAGTCATCCTTGACTCTTCACTCTCCTTAACAACTACATGTCTGTTCAGTTGCCAAGATTTGTGGTTTTTACCTTCACAACATTTCTTAAATCTGTCCTATTCTCTATATTTAAATGGCCACCATGTTATCACTTCTTTCCCGGACTATTACAACAACCTCATAATTCCTTTCCCTACCTACAGTTCACACTCCAAATCAAGTCAAGTCAAAAAGAATTTATTAAGTGCTGACTGTGCACCAAGCACTATATTAAGTGCTAGGAATACAAATATAAGTAAAAAGAATGACATCCCCTGCCCTCAAGGAGCTTTCATTCTGAGGGAAGAAGCAACACACATAAGGAAGCTGAAGAGCAGGGAGGCAGATAAGGTAGCCATGCAGGCAACATGGCGGAGAAAGAAGTCTGAAGGGAGAAGTAGAAGTCATCGAGACTTATGAAGGGGTGAATATGGCTGGCTCAGCTCTCCTTAAAATGGAGGTTCCAAGAGAAAAAGGAGCTGAAGGGGAAGAGTGATCTTCCAGGGTAAGAAGGATGCTGAGTCATGGTGGAGAAAGAAATTTGGAGTTAGGAGTGGAACCCAGAAAAGAATAGAGGGAATACTGCTCCCAAAGTGGTTTTCCTAATGCACAGGTCTCAGGCAAAATTTCTACATAACAGTTTTACTTGAAGGGCTGTTTCTTTTGTTTGTCAATTATTTTTGGATAGGGACCCTTCCACTATATTATAACCAAGCTAATTTTAGGATTCAGCTTCTGCTTCTGAAACAAAAGTGATCATGTCACTTCTTTACTCAGTAAATTCTGGTGGCTCTCTCTTGCCTCTAAGGCCAAATACAAATGTCTCTGTTCAACATTTAAGGCTATTCACAATCTGGCTATAACCTACCTTTCCATCCGTATTACATATTCCCCTACTTCATGCAGGCACTTCTGGGTCCAGGCAAACTGGCCTTTCTGTTTTTTCAGGCTGTCCCTCATCTCTGTAATGCACTCCTTTCTCCCCTCTGCCATTCAGAATCTCTAGTTCCCTTCAAAGTTCAGGTCAAATGTTAAAATACAAATTCCTTTTTTGGCATTTAAAGCCCTTCAAGGTCCTGCTCCAACCTGTCTTTACAGATTAATTTCACATCAGTCCCCTTAACACATTCTACATTCTAGCCAATATTTGACATTCTATCTCCCACCTCCATAACTTTGCACAGGTGTTTCTCCATTCCTGTAATGTTCTCTTCACCTCTGTCTTTTGAAATCTCTTGATCCTTTCAAGACCCAGCTAATGTCACCTCATGCAATACATCTATTTGGATTTCCCCGGCTGTTGGGCTCTCTCCCATATGTCCTCAAATTATTTCATGTTTATTTTTCATATATTTTTAAAAATTTATATCTCACATTTTCCCCGTTAGTAGGATTTAACCTCCTGAAAAGCAAGGGCTATTTTTGTGTCCCAAGCATCTAGCACAGGGCCTGGTACATATTAGATACTTCATAAATATCTGCTGTTGTTATTGTTTTATTAGCAAAAATATTAGTGGAAAATATGCTAGACAAATACAATGACTTTATCAATTTGTGGTTTTATCTAGTAGAAAATGGCAAAATAAGAGGATGAGAGAAGAGAAGCAAAAAAGGAAGAAAGGAAGGATAACAAGAGGAGAGAGAAGAAAAATACATCTTGGAGATGAAATACTGCTCAAATTTAAAATATTTCAAGGCATGTTCTTATTCTACATGTTCTACCACTAACAGAGGTACAAAATTTCCTCTGGTGACAGCATCAGCAATTTGAGGAAACAAAGCCATATAGAAATAGAAGTAGCTATGTCCTCATGACAGTAAAGAGGTCTGTCAATGTATAAAGCAATTATAAAAATGCAGAAGGTGGGCAAAGCCAGCAGTTTTGAAATAACTGCCTTAAATTATGGCCTCATAGCAATGACTGGAAGTATCATTAAGAGAAAAAGTTTCAGCATCGCTTTGATGGTTATCTAAGACTAGCCATATTCTTCTAGGAGAGCCAAGGTAAAATGCATCATCACCCAAGGTACATTTCAAAGACAGCAGGTTCAACAAGATACATACTTAGGTGAGTTCAGGTTACTATTTCTTAATTCGCCTCCTGTGTAAACTTGTGCAGGTTTTTGTGTTTTCTCTTGTGAAATTCAAATCTCATGAACTTAATCTTGCCTATATGTCTTGGGGAGAGTGGAGATCTTTGCAAGAATCATTAGCCTTTATCTGTGGGTATCAGGACTGGAGTGGTAACATGACCTGGGCTTGTCAGATTACAATGGCAAAAAAGTTTCTGACAAACTCCAGGCCCATACTCTGCCGGCTAAGAGATTGCCTGAAAGTGTCTAGCTGAGGTGGGTGTTCTCACTGCTGACAATCATAGCAGAGTAGAAAGGATGAAGGCAGTTAGCTAAGAGAACAAAATAAAAACATATATGTTGGAAATAAGCTATACTGTACTAGTACTACAGGGTGACCCTGTTATATAATAGTTTCCCTTGAAAGGTTTTTTCTTTCCTTTCTCAGCTATTTTTGGATAGGGACCCTTCCATTATACTACAACCAAGCCAAGTCGAGGAGTTAGCTTTTACTTCTGA